ATTTAAATTTTTTGAAAGAAATATATAATTAAATAACACGAATATTAAAAAATTATTTGTAATTATATTTATTATAATTTTATTAACCATAAATTTGTTTTTAAAAGAGTTTGTTTGTAGTTAAAAATCATAACAAATATTGTCAATCTAGCGTTTTTAAAACCGCTTAGTTTGTCTTTCTCTTAGCGATTTTGTGTAAATTTTTATTTTACTAATATGTTTGTCACATGATGTTTTATGCATTGAACACATTGAAGACAGCAGGCTACACGACTACACGAACACAAATGCTGCTGTGCTGCAGTTGTAGTCGTGTGGTAGCTACTGAATTATTTTAAAGACTACTCGGATCTGCGAGATCCGAATTTTCAATAATTCTATCGGAAATACGGTCGAATAGAACGCTATTTAAAATCAGCCCAATCGGCCCATAAATAACGAAGATATGAGTAAAAATCCGAGACCACCTCTGAAAATTTCATCAAAAATTAACTTTTTCGTGCATGCTTATACAAAACAATAAACAAACAAAAACAAAACACAGTATCAAACGGTAAATTTTTTTGTTATTTGTTATTGTAATTCTTGTTTATAAACACAAAGCAAAGAATGAACATCACGTTGTTATTGGCTAGAAACATGAAATTAAATATCTAGAGCCTGGATTAGGCGAGAACACATTAAAGGGCACTTTTTGGTACTTTTTCGTTCTACAAAAGGTACTTTTTGAATTTTCTATAATATTGAACCTAGAAACATGAAATTTAGCATGTAGGACCTTGACTAAGAACCTATAAAAAGGGATTTTTTGGTACTTTTTCGATATACAAAAGGCACTCTTTGAATTTTCTATAATATTGAACCTAGAAACATGAAATTAAGTATGTAGAGCCCGGATTAGGCCAGAACACATAAAAGTGGACTTTTTGGTACTTTTTCGTTCTCCAAAGGGTACTTTTTGAATTTTCTATAATATTGAACCTAGAAACATGAAATTTAGCATGTAGGACCTTGACTAAGTAAGAACCTATAACAAGGGATTTTTTGGTACTTTTTCGTTATACAAAAGGTACTCTTTGAATTTTCTACAATATTGAACCTAGAAACATGGTATTAAATATGTAGAGCCCGGATTAGGCCAGAGCACATAAAAGGGGACTTTTTGGTACTTTTTCGTTCTACAAAAGGTACTTTTTGAATTTTCTATAATATTGAACCTAGAAACATGAAATTAAGTATGTAGAGCCCGGATTAGGCCAGAACACATAAAAGTGGACTTTTTGGTACTTTCTCGTTCTCCAAAGAGTACTTTTTGAATTTTCTATAATATTGTACCTAGAAACATGAAATTTAGCATGTAGGGCCTTGACTAGGTAAGAATCTATTAAAGGGGACTTTTGGTACTTTTTCGTTATACAAAAGGTACTTTTTGAATTTTCTATAATATTGAACCTAGAAACATGAAATTAAGTATGTAGAGCCTGGATTAGGCCAGAACACATAAAAGGGGCATTTTTGGTACTTTTTCGTTCTACAAAAGGTATTTTTTGAAATGTCTATAATATTGAACCTAGAAACATGAAATTTAGCATGTAGGGCCTTGACTAGGTAAGAACCTATAAAAGGTGACTTTTTGGTACTTTTTCGTTTTACAGAAGGTACTTTTTGAAATTTCTATAATATTGAACCCAGAAATATGAAATTAAGCATGAAGAGCCCGGATTAAGTTAGAACGTATAAAATGGGATACAATTGGTATTTTTTGATTTGTTTGTAATAAAATTCGTACTGACTGTTTTTTAACACATCATGGTGAAGGGTATATAAGATTCGGCATAGCCGAATATAGTACTCTTACTTGTTTTTTTTTTGGTGTTTTGTTAGCGATTGAGATTTCAGCAAAAGGGCATTACCAATCTTTGTTTATAAACAAAAACTTGCAATTTTTCACAAATTTGCGTTCTGGATATCTTTTTGATTGAGAGTAAATTAAAAATTACTCTCTATCATAAAGTTACTGGATATTTTTTACTGGAAAATACGCGAACAGACCTATTATATGACCATCATGTATATGTCATCACTTATTATCTTTTCTCTTGTATTACTCCTTTTTCTTTTTGCTTCCTTTTTTTCGTTTTGTTCAAAGCACACGTTAGACGTAAAGTTATATTATTTATATTATTAAATATAACCAATTAAACTTTAAATACACAACAATTATTGACGACGATGATGAAAATCGAATGAAGCAATAACAATAAGAATTCAACAAAAACAATTAATTTTTTTTTCAACAACAAATACCCAGCCATAGTGCTACAAAATGGAAGCGCAGGTCATATCGATGACGACGGCCATGAAACCCCCCCGGGTTTGCCACAACAAGTCCGTGGCAAATATTTTTCGCGAGATTTCGGGATTGCGAGAGCAGTGACTTTAATTCACAAATTACACAAAAAGCATTAGCCTTGGAAGCAGCAAAAACTGACAACAGAACTATTTCAAACAGTGTATCGACTACAACTACTAATGTTCATCAAGTACGTCAACAACAGCAAAGAAAACATGACAGACAGTGGAAACCCAGCTACAAGACATATTTTTTACTCATGGTTTCCCACAGGTGATGGTCCCAAACAGAGTAGAGTAGAAATAGAACGCCCATTCTGTAAATAACCGATAATCGACCCCTATGCAGAATATTTCACCACAACAATAAAACTGCAGCGATTCTGTAAATAACCGATAATCGACCCCTATGCAGAATATTTCACCACAACAATAAAACTGCAGCGATGACTTCTGACAGACTTTAAGATATGCATCATTCCTGTAGGGATATAACTATAAGATAGAACATCGAAAAGCTGATGATATTGTAAATGTAGATTGTCTATCCAGAGCACCTATAAAGCCGTAAGAATAATTCAAGAGCAAATCGTAAATTAAATTTTAATTCAGTTACAGCAACTACAATTGCAAACGAAACAATCCGCGACAAAGCTAAAGAAAGATTTAGTCAACGGGGATAACGCTGACCCTGATTATTCAATTCAAAATAGTATAATTTTCAAAGCAAACCGTGTCGTAATACTCACATTGGCATCGTAAAGATGAAACAGTTGGCAAGAAAATATTGCTATTGGAAGGCTATTGACAGTGATATTGATCAAAGTGTGCGGTCATGTTCCAGCGGCGCTAAAATAAATAGCCCACCAAGAGTTCCAGTTCATAGTTGGGAGCAGCCCGATGAAAATCTTCAAAGAGTCCACATAGTCCACAAGGCCTTCTCAAAACATTTACTTTTTAGTGCTGGTGGATGCAAAATCGAAATGGCCTGAAATCAGACTACAACGGGATGCCCCAAACTCCGAAAAAACAATAACGTTGACATATTTTTTACCACAGGTGATGGTCCCAAACAATGTTACTATTTTTCAAAGCGACACATTCAAAAGTTATTGTATTAATAATGGCATAATACAGAAATTTCGAGCCACAGGGCACCCCGCAACAAACAGATTAGCAGAACGCTACGTGCAAATATTAAAAAGAAGAGGACAATTCACCGCTCAATATCAAGGTGCAAGAGATTCTTCTCCGTTATAGAGCAACTCCACTAGCTAATGGGAAAACACCATCTCAGTTGTACCTGGGTCGAGACCTTAAAATTAAACTTGATGCGTCCAACTCAACATCAAAAAGTTACAGTTTCGTTGACAGTTGTTAGCCAGTTTAGCGTGGGAGATAGGGTCCAAGTACGATGGTATGAAAAAAATAAATTATTATGGAAATATGGAACAATTAAAACCAAGTTTGGTCGACTTTATTATCAAGTGGAAATTGACAGTGGATATGTGCTTAAACGCCATATTAATCAAATGCTCAATCGGGACCACATAAATAAAAAATCGAGGAAATACTAACTCAACGTCCATCTACCAACCAACGGATTATACCACAAGCGGAACCTGAAGGTCAGCAAAATTACACCATAAGGAAGTCGGGTAGTTCCAGAAAACAGCCTGTCCGTTTTGAAAACCATGTCCTATTTTAGCGTGGGAGATTGTTGTGTACCTTCTCAATATGACAATCATGTATATGTCATCACTTATTATATATACTCTTGTATTACTCCTTTTTCTTTTTGCTTCCTTTCTTTCTTTTTGTACAAAACACACGTTTTTTTAGTTACACGTAAAGTTAGTAAAGTAATTTGTATTATTACCCAGTAAAAAAATGTTGCAGTAGTGCAAAGTGAATGTAATTATCATGACTTCTTTAATAACAGTGCTAATACAACTCATTCTAAATGCCTTCCTAAATTCAACCTATTCCCCACTTAAAAAAATCCCTTTAAAACTTCAAAAATTAGTTCATATTGTTAATTTAATCAAATGAATTTTATGTGTTATTAGAATTATTTTTGATTATTAATATTATTTTACATATTTTTCCATATTTATTATAATATTTTCCTTAAAAATATTTAAAATGTCGTTCAAAAATACATACAAAACAAATAGCTGATTAAACAACATTTTTGTCATGTAACTTTTTGCTGGGTAAATATAAGCAATCAATGCATGTTATACTTCAAATACACGACACCTTTGAACTTTATTTTGTCCGGTAGTGTGTGTACTGGGAACTGCCAACACTTCGTGTTTAAAATATCGGCGTTTACCTATCTGGACCGATTTGGCATCATACAACTATGGAAAAAAGGCTCTTTAGTGCTATTGAAACAATAATGACATAATTGTTGTAGCACGAAAGGCAAGAGTGTTAAAGAGCACAGGTATAAGTTTTTTCTGAAACAGTCCTTAATATATATTATATTGAACTCAAATCACAAATCTTAGTGATATTAACGTCATCTGTTGTGATTATTCACTACAGTAGATTCCAAATAATCAAGTTTTTTTTTTTCTTATAAACTGAGCAACATTTACTTATAAGTAAATAGGTTGTACTTATTAAACAAATAATTTTACCTGGTGTGGGTGTAGTATTCATATTCTTTGATTCAATATCTTTGGGTGAAACATGTGAGAGGGGTGTGGTGGGATTACTATTTAAATTATTTGCAGTTGATCTATTACGGTTTGAATTCCCCACTCCAGAGCCTGGTGTTGGAGATCCCTGTTGGGAAAATGTATTTTTATTCGTTGAACCATTGCCGGCCGATGTACCACCGACAGCCGTTGTCGTTGTTGTTGTTGAGTTTGTGTTAGCAGTTGACGCGGAGGAAGCTGATGTTACATCCATATTGGGTGATGTTGTCGATGACAATGCTCCACCCATGGTATTAGACGCTCGTGGTGAGGGCAGTGACATGTTTGATGTTGGGTTGTTGGGGCTTGAAGGATTCGGAGATTGTGTCGCAATGGGTACTGAAGCTGATCGCTGGGTTGGATGGTAGGGTGGTGGGGGTCCTTGGTTGCCTCGATTATTTGCGCTTGCACTAGAATTCGTTCGGTGGGACATACCACCAGCACTACTAATACCGGTTGAATTACATCGCGTTAATGTTTGTTGACATCCAGAAGGACCACCACCTATTTCCGGTGGCATACTGTTGGCATTTGAGTGATTGTTTTTTAATCGTTCTTCATATATGTGATGATGTAGTTTCGACCACTCCATTTGGGGCATCCCAACTGAGGAGTTCATTTCCGATGGGTGAGGTGGATTCATATTTTTATGCGGTCCCATCATTCCGCCTCCACCACCTTCTTGACCTGAGGGACAATGATTAGAATTAAATGGCGATAATACATCCGCATTGTTCCCCATCATTGTGTTGTTTTGGTCGTTCATTAAACTTCCGGGCGGTATTCCAATAGGACCGCCGTTATTCATCATATTAAGATTGCCACCACTAGCATTCATTAATCCTCTACCTGAGTTCCCACCCAGCGCACTAGCGTTATTTATATTAGGCATACAACCTTGTTTAAGAGGGGAAGGTATTACTCCCATTTCATTTGGACCACAACCGGATCCCGACATCATATCGCCTGGCATTATAATGTCTTCACCCAAGTTAGGCATGTTATCAAGTTGTGTGTTGGTGCCACCTGACTTTAAGTGATTCATTAAATTTCCAGATATATTTCGCATAGCAGCGGCATTAAGCTTATTGCCCATGTTTGAACCTTGCATGTTTAACAAAGCGACTGGGTTACCAGACATACCACTAGCCAATGCTTCGGGAGGCACCTGCATTTTTCCACCCATCATCTGATTATTACCGGCTTGGGGATGAAAGTCGTTGCCCCCATTTTCGGGAAATAGAAACTGATTCATTTTCTTTAGTTTAGCCAATTGCTCCTCTCGATGCTGACGCTGCTGTGGGGTTAGATTTTCATCGGGCACTTTAACTCCCTGCAACGAAGGTATGCCTCCACTATCATCATTAGACAAGCCAGAGCAAACCGATTTTGTAGTATTACTAGAGTTTTCGGCATTCTCTAAAATTTTCATTGCATTTGTTGAATCTCCTGCAGGACTATCCATAACAGACCGTGTTTGATCCCAACACATCATGTCGTTTTCATTTAAAACACTACTTCCAGTTGAGTTATTCGACGAAGACGTTATAGTTTCTAAATAAAGGTATATATTAGACATTGTGTCAATTTTTTTAAAATTTCAATTACCTGATTTATTTAATGTTAGTTTATGTGACATTTTGCCCATGGTATTGCAATTACCAGTTAACCAAGGCGGTTGTCCACTTGAACCTGGGCCTGCTGCAGGTGGAAGTCCTCCCATTATATTTAAGGTATTTTGTCTTTGCAATTTCGTCATTTTCATGGGATTTTTTAGAAAAAAATCTTCAAAAAATGATTTTGTAGCTGGTTGAGTGCAATGATATGCAATAATTGTGGGAAATTGACCGGCTAATACAGCTTCAGCTCCTTTGTTGGCTAATTGTGTGGAAAATACAAATATATGATTTTGTTGCTGCATATATTCCATACAATTGTTTATACCGCTGCTCCCACTGATCATATTCGTTCCACCCCCACCTCCCCCAGCCTGTGGTGGACCATTAGTATTTGATAAATTATTAATAATAAATGACGCATTTAAGGGAATATTACAGGGTGTATTTGGAGTATTTGAACCTAATGGTGTTGTATTAGAAGCATCCGAACAAAATCCATCTAAAGAAGACTTTGAATTTAATGGGTTTGTGTTTGTATTTAAGGCATTACAACTGCTTATAAGGTTTAAATTAGCACCAGAACCTGTAACTATTAAACCACTTGATGATTGAGTCACGGAACTTTCGTCATTCTCACTGCAAACATTTCCCTGTAAACTCATTCTTTTATCACATGATGACGAATCATTTGATTTGTCTGTAAAAAAAAAAACAATACAAATTTCATAAAATAGTTGAATTTTTCATTCTGGGCATAAATATATGTTTTATAACCTTAACTAATGGGAACCCCCCCCAAAAAATAACAATCGGTAGATTATTTTTAAAATATTTGTATCGGCTATTTCTTCTCAAAAAGCTACCGCAATTTCTAAAATGCACTTACTGTCTCTCACATACATATGCATTTATTTATTTTAATTTATTATATACAAAAAACAACATTTTATAATTGATTTTGGGGTTAACATAAATAACCAGAGACTGAAAATAACGGGTCCACTTTTTTTTATTAGGTTAATTGCTGTGATCACCATTTATACTTGTGTTTTTGCAGTTTATCACTGAGAGAAACCTTTATGTTAGATTTTTTTGATAAGTGGTTGAGAGAAACCGAAATGAAAAACAAAATAACTCGCTAAAATTGATTTTTATTTTCTAAACATTTTTGAAAAGGTCTGCTTATGATTTTTATTTTTAAAAGCAGAAGAATAAATCGCAAATGTAAATACACTATTAGGACATACACATATAATTTCTTCAAAAATCATAGCAAACAACAACAATGTACTCTCCCACTCTCATATAAGCAAGAGAAAAAGAATACAAGAACCAAGTGCTCAGCCAAAAACATAAGTAACAAAACAAAAGTAGTAAAGGTTATACTAAACCATTTAAGGAAAAATCATTTTAAAACTGTTATTCTGAGTGATTTATTTAAAAAAAAAACAAAAATAAATCACAATTCAATCACTTTGGTTATGTGGCCCAGTTATTTTCAGTCTCTGTAAATAACTAAAATAATTATATTCTCTAAAAAGTCCTCAAATTTAATATCACATGTTTAAAAGTTAAAAAATATTTATTTAAATTAATTCAGCATGTGAGAGTGTTATATTCGGCTGTGCCGAATCTCATATACCTACAATCAAACCCTATGCCGTAAAAGGCATAGCGTTTGATATGAGAGATAGGGTTATTTATTTATTTAAATTAATTCAGCATGTGAGAGTGTTATATTCGGCTGTGGTTAATTACACGGTGTGACAAAATTACAAAAAATCAATACACTAAGTGAAGTTGGTAGGTCTAGTAGAATAGATAGATTAAAAATCGGAAGATATTGGAAAAAACGCTTTTAGTTGACTAGACAGACCAAAAAAATTATTTCTCAAAATTTTCTTAACCGATTTAATATATTTCAACTGTTTTGAAAAGAGTTTCCTTTGTCCTTTTTAAAAAGTATGCACACTTTTATATTTTTTATGGAAATGTGTAAAATATTTAGATCTAAATACAAATTTTCATATTTTTTTTAAATTTTTTTACGATTTACCATAATTTTTGACTAACACTTTATTAGAAAACATATTTTTTTAATATTTTTTTGAATAAAATAAGATATTAAACGTGAGCGTGTTTTACACAGACAGACAGACAGACGGACGGACATAGATAAATCGACTCAGAATTTTATAAGAACCCAGAATAAATATACTTTGTTGGGTCTCAGATGAATATTTCTTGGTGAATGACCAACTTATATATACCCTCTATCACCACTGATGGCGGTGGAGGGTGTAAAAAGTACTTTTTTCTTCTTCTTTTTATACACACCATCAAAAAAGATGGGATATATTTATTTTGTCATTCCTTTTGTAACACATTGAAATATTGGTCATGATTGGTCCATAAATGACCCTTTAGTGAGGATGGGTCCATAATTGACCCTACCGCCCATGCAAGGTCCCATTCAAAAATGACTTTAACGCTCATTGCTGGCTAAATAATACGAATATAGCAATAACATTTGACACAATTAAATTCCTCGCGAGAAGATATCTCTCTACGAACTTTTATGTGGATCGGTCCGTAATTGACTCTACCCCCCCCATATGAAGTTCCCTCCAGAAAATTTCTTTAACGCTCATTAAAAATACGAGTAAAGCTATGAAATGCTACACACGTAAGTTCCTTATGATCCCAAACCTCTCTACTAATGTTTTTTAGTATCGGCCCATAAATGACCATACCCCCCTTATAAGGTCTCATTCTGAAAATGACTATAACGCTCATTACTGGCTTAGAAATATGAATATAGTGACGAAATTCGACATACGTTTTATGCGAACCAAAATCTCTCTACCAAATTTAGTGATGATCTGTCCATAATTGACCCTACAGCCCTTACAAGGTTCCCTTCACAAAATTACTTTAACGTTCATTACTGGTTAAAAATTGTGAGTATAGCGATAAACTTTGACACAAGCAAGTTCCTCGCGAGCCAAAATCTATCTACCAAATTGTATGTGAATCAGTGTCATTATCCTTCCGTTAAAGCTATTTGAATAAAGTATTGTCAAACTACAAGACATAAGTTTTAATTAGGGGCTAAAACGGTTAAAATCGGATAAATAGTTTAGAAAATATAAATAAAATAAATAAAACATGTGAACTTTGAACATTTTGGAGAAGTTTAGACTTCGTATTTATACAAAAAATATGTATGTGTACCAAGTTTCATCAAAATCGGAAAGGGTAAAGTACAAAAGCTGTTCGAACATTTTTGAAATGCCCCATATTCCTCTTAGTAAATAAATCAAATGTTAACCCATTAAATGCGTATATTCAAAAAGTATCAAATGTGTATCCTCAATTTTTTTTATATATTTTTTTCTATGTTTATTGTTTTAAAAGAAACATATGATAGCAGAAAAAAAGTACCATAAAAATTACTTTTAACAATTTTTGCCCCAAATGGGTTAATTTCAAAAAAGTACAAGACACGTGTTCCATAATTTTTTAAATATAAGACAACACAATTAAATTTTTTGATATCTCTATTGGTCTAGAAGATGCGAGATTACCCTTAAAACTCCAAATCATTACTCCGATTTTTCTGAAAATTTGAATTTATCGTTATTTTGATAATGTGTACTCGTATACCAAATTTCATTTTTCTACAAGAACAATATATCCCCCATCTTTTTTGATTGTGGGTATAACAAGTAAGAGTTTGATATTCGCGTGTTCGTGTTTAAAAATATTGTAACATTTCAATTATATTATTTTTCTTGGCTCTGCCATTACTTTAGCAATAATAAAACAATAACAATTTACACAAAACGAAACAAAACATCAAAAAATAAAACAACGAAATACGCCTACAATATACATCCAAACATAGGTTTTTTCAATAAGCAAGGCAAGCTGTGTGTTTTTTGGCTTTTTTGACAAAGCATGCACCCAAATTTTGAAATTTTCAGAGGTTGTCTGAGATTTTTGTTTATATTTCCGTTTTTTATGGACAGATTTTGCTGATTTTAAGTAGGACTATTCTTGAAAGTGGCGTCATGAAATAACTCCCCACGAAATAACTCCCCAAAACAAAAATGAAATAACTCCCTAAATTTGGGGACTTATTTCATTATGAAATAATTCCCCAATTTAAAAAATGAAAAAAGCCCCAACGGAATGAAATAACTTCCTAAATTAAAATGAAATAACACCCATTTTTGGGGATTTATTTCATATGAAACAAATCCCTAATTTTAAAATGAAATAAGTTCCCATTTAAAAATAACAAAGTGACAATTCTAAAAAAAAGTAGGTCGCTCATACTTTCGAGTGGGGCTTCAAAGTTTAATACATTTCAGTTTAATCGCTTAATAAAGATTCCCGTAATAGCCGGCCTGCGGCCGGGCGCAAGGACTTTCTACTCTATGGTATGTCCAACAACGGCTTCGCTTAATAAATATTTCCTAAATAGGACGCAAGGATTTACCACTCTATAATATGACCAACACCGGCTTCGCTTAATAAAGATTTCCTAAATAGCCAGCCTAAGGCAGAACACTTTTGATACAAGAAGAGTGTATTCTTAGCGAAGCCGGTGTCCAATGTACCCCAGAGGATAAAACCTTTGCGCCCGGCCGAAGGCCGGCTATCAGCTATATATTTTTTATTTCATGTGTTAAAATTAATATAATGAAATAAATCCCCAAAAATATTTTTAGGGATTTATTTCATTTTTGAATTTTGAGGAATTATTTCATAATGAAATAACTCCCGATTTTAAATGTGAAATAATGCCCCAAAAAACGAATTAAATCCCCAAATTTCGTTGTTTTTGCTTTCCGTAAGATTTTTTCAGAAATCCCTACCCTTATGAGAAAAAATCCGTTTTTTCCCTACATCCAGTTTTAATTTTCCCTACATTTTCCCTTACACTACTTTTTTCCATTTTTTCAGGTTTATTAAAGAGAAATAAAAAATAAAAAAATAGCTCCTTATTATAATGTATATGGGCAATTTCATATCAAGTGACCCAACTCAAAAAATCGATTTTGATGAAATTTGCACCAATGTTAGTAGTAGGTAGTGTTTATAAACGGGTTAACCGAAAACCCGGTTCTTATTGCATATTTCGGTTTTTCGCAAACCGTTTTTTAAACATTGGTTTTCGGTTAACCGGGTTATCCGGTTTTTAAGTCTCGGTTAACCGGTTTCAAAAAAATCTAATTTTTAGCACAAAATTGTATGTTTTCTTTGATTTTTTATTGTGATTTTTAAAAATTTTGGGTAGATAATTCTAAACATTATTTTCCGTTTGTGCAAATGAAAACAGACCTAAGATTGTTAAACAAATGTTAGGAAATGTTAAACATATATTATGTATGTATATAAAATGGAGATTTACAATTTCAGACAATCAGGAAATTAGTAAAAAGTTGGCATTTAAACCAATAAAAAATTAACCATTTAAACAAATTCCAACCATTATATGAAGAAATTTGTTATTTATTAAGACGAATAAATAACTTTGATGATAAAATGCAGGATGCACTTACTTATTTACTGCGTGTGTATAATAAAAATCGAGAAGTTTCTCAAACGTTCTCAAAACGGACTTCATTTATCGAAACATAAGGAGAATTTATGCTGCTGGGGTTTTCACAAACTGTAATGGCGCTTATT